GTCATGGAAGGCGTCAAACTTTGAGCGTCCACACGCTCCGTCTTGACGGTCAAACCTGGCATGACATGCAAGACTGACGATAAGTTTGAGCGTGTGGATGGGGCTTAAAGGTTACGTGCCGTCATCCCAACGTACGCAGATGCACATCGTGCACAACTAAATTTATAAACTAGGGACGATCGCATGTGAGAAGGGAGGGGTGGATAGCTTAGCAGGTCAGCATAACCCAAGTCCACAGTGCGATTCATATACCTTCCAGAGCGTAATGCAGCCGGGCATCTTCACGGCTTTTAACACAATGCGCCCACCACAACAGCGCAGTTCAGTCACAGGCCGGAGCGCATACTGGCCGGAGCACAACTGGCCGGAGCGCAGCAGGCCCTACCGTAACAGCTACTCCTAACGTAACCTAACATAACCTAACCTGTGCCGCCTGTTGCGGTAGGGCCTGTTGCGCTCCGGCCAGTTATGCTCCGGCGATGTGAAGCAGTGGCTGTGTTGTGCAATTGTGCAAAGCGGATTTACTGTTAGCCGGAGTTACCCACAGCTCATTGATCTGAGGCTATGTGTAAATATTGCATGCTGATGTTTGGCGTTGGGCCCAGAGCCTGTTTACGAGTCAATTTTGTTACCCACGGCTGCGCTCCTCCTAAAAAACGAACCTATTTTGAAATTATTAACCAATATGATACGAAGATTAATGTCCGGAAAGTATTTCACAAACAAATATTTTAATTTTCTTGACATAACTTCGACGCATGGCCGAAGTATGGAAAAGAACAGTAAACCACTTTTCTACTATCAGGTTCTGGAACAACTTCACTGTATCGCTTAGACATGAATTTCTTAATCTGGGTAAACACCATGCCATAAGGAAATCCATTAATTTGCATAGTTTTAAAATCTCTGTTATTTAATTTTTTCCAATGTGCATATAGACTCAACGACCTTCGGGTCGTGAGGCACAGTGCAGAGCATGTCAATAGTCACTAACCTGGCATTAAATTAAATATACACGTATTCTTCAAATGAATCTCTTGCATTATGTCTCATTATTTGGACCATCTACCTACATATACGCCGCTATCTCCTAAGTCTTAACATGCCTGCTCTTCATGTAGTGTCTTATCTCTGTTTATTTTTTTATCCACAGTCACGCGAACCGAGTCCAAACCGGGCTCCTTCAAATTGAAATAAAGAAAAATTATAAAAGAAGTCCTTAGGGTTGGTTGAGGAAGAACCTTGTTCAAAACATATTACGATCTGGGCGCGTGGTCGTTGGTTATCCCTCAGTTGGCCAGCATTAAAATGACCGTACTCTTTTATGATAAAAATTTTAAAAATTGTACTTCTCAGTTTGGCAGCCGCAGCAGTCAGGTTATTGTTTTTTGTTGGAATTGTGTCACACTGTTACTCGCACATGCCAGTTTATAGATGAGTTTCTTGAAGATCTACTCTCTGGTGAACACGTATTTGTCAATGGTCAAACTTGCCTCCGTGACGTTTTTCCGAGAATTAAGTTCATGCTTCATTGGCCGGCTGCAATGCGAATTCGAAGCTTTGCAAAGATAAAACATTTGTAAAGGCCAGTTGTGCTCCGGCGCTGTGGAGCAGTGGCTGTGTTGTGCAAAGCGGATTTACTGTTAGCCGGAGTTACCCACAGCTCATTGATCTGAGGCCATGTGTAAATATTGCATGCTGATGTTTGGCGTTGGGCCCAGAGCCTGTTTACGAGTCAATTTTGTTACACATGGCTGCGCTCCCCCTAAAAACGAACCTATTTTGAAATTATTAACCAGTATGATACAAAGATTAATGTCCAAAAAGTATTTCATAAACAAATATTTTAATTCTCTTGACATAACTTCGGACGCATGGCCGAAGTATGGAAAAGAACAGTAAACCACTTTCCTACTATCAGGTTCTGGAACAACTTCACTGTATCTCTTAGACATGAATTTCTTAATCTGGGTAAACACCATGCCATAAGGAAATCCATTAAGCGAGAAGACGTTGCGCAAAAATTAAAAATCAGAATGCATGACATGGAAAGTCGAGCATATACGAAAGCCGTGGTGTAATAGTGTTTGAAGCTCGTTTTACTTGAATCTAAAAGAACAAAAACTAAAAAAGCTAGTGCTTAGGCTGGTGAAAGTTGATTTTCTGAAAACAGATGTTTGAAAACGGCCATTAGATTTAGTAATATTGCAGTCTAGAAAGGACAAACTATTGTTCGATTCAAGTTCCATAGTAAATTTAATAGAATTATGTTGCAAGTTTAGGTAATCGAAGAAAAGTTTTACATGTGAGGGATGCTTGAAAATAAGAAAGGTGTCATCGACATATCAGTTATAAAAAATTGGTTTAAAATCAGGAGGGCAATTGGTCAGCCATGAAACCTCGTGAAAACATAAAAATATTCGCAAAGGTTGGGCCGATGGGAAGACCCATGTCCAAACTGTCAATCTGTCTGTAAAGTTTACCAGCAAATATGAAAATCGAATTTAGAACTGATAATTCCAGCAGGGATTTAAAAAATTTTCAGTTCAAACCAATAACAGTAAGGTTTTAGCTTATAGTTCTGACTTCTGGTGCTTCCGATCTGCGCATTTTGGAATCATTGTATATTTTTAATTTTAAAAAGAAGCCTAGTTTAAATGCTGCCTACAGTTCTTGTCCATTAGATATTGTGAGTAGATAGGTATTTCTTTATTATTCTGCCCTTTGCCTGTAAATTTAGTTTATAACTTCTGTTTGTTTTTTGTTCATATGACTCCAAACTTTATTAATTTTCTGACTGTATTTGTGTTCTAGATTCATCGAACTGACGATGGAGCTGGTCTCCGAAACGTTTTCAATAGAGAAATGCTGAATTTTTGTGGAGTTTTCTTTGCTTTTAAATTTCTAGTGAATCTGCGATTCAAGCAATCTAGTGACATTATTATTATTTTCTTCTAAATTTATCTGTTAATAACCAGTTTGAATATTTTGGTTTTATATTCATGAAGATTGGAGATATATTCGAATGTAGTTGAGGTATGCCTCTGAACTGAATGTCGTTGTCGGCTGTTCGCTACCATGGTTGAACTAGTAGATTTATAGTTCAACCATGGTTCGCTACAGCCTATGCTGTGGACAATAAGCTACGCATCAGAAAAGAGTTCGTCCCACGGAATAGTCGATTTGCTATCCCTAATAGGAAGAATATATAGATTAACGAATTAACAAACAACGTAAATATTCATACTTGACTGTCTTGGGTGTAAATAAACTTAGAAGGAAGTATGGGAAGAGTTGAATACTGTAATCCACAAAGACGACGAGAGTAAATGTTAGGCGTGGAATTAATAAAAAAATTTCGAAGACATCAGGGAGCTAAGCCCAACTGAATGTTTATCGATCATTGGGGAAGCTTTTAAATATAATTAATCATTAATGTATTTGGCGGTATCAGAAACCAGAAACGTCAGCTAGAATTGAAATAGAAGCGAGAAAGATTAGCGGTTCAAGCAAGTTGGAGGAGAATGAAAAGAAATGGAGATTTTGATTTGAAACTAAGATTGAGATGAAAGACGTCGTTCGTGGGGCCCTAGAAAGGAAACAAGTCATAGTGTCTTGCGTCAGTTCCAAGAAGCGACGTTACTTCCACAACTGTAAATCTACAGTATTTGAAAAATATGGATGAAAAGGAAAAAGTTCCGCCTGGCTGCTAATTTAAAGGTGATGCCACCTTTCAAAAACATCTTGCCAATGAGCTTGAAACGTGAATGAATTTTTGCAGCCTAACAAGCGATGTTTCTCGTCATCTACAACCCTGCCTTTGGCGAGATAATAAAATCGATCAGGCCGAAAAGACATTGGAAGCAGCGTCTTGATAAGAAAACTTAACTGGACCCTCGATGTCAATGAAATGCTGTCTGTTGAAGACCTACTACAACACGGAGGGCAGTAGTATGAAAACAATCCTCCAATTATTCTGTACCATTAAGGGTTTAATATAATTTAAACCCAATGGGGCACCGTGGAAGAAAAACTTTGGTGACCTAACTCTGAAAATTTTAGAGACAATCATATATGCCACAACGAATTTGCTGTACATGGATGGAGTGTATCCTGTCAAAATTATGCAGCGGGACTGTTTAGTTCCGATTTATTCGAAGTCATTATTGTGCGGAATCGTGACAAGCGCTGCATAGCAGTATTAATGTGTTTATTCGGTATACCAACGGGAGAGCAGCCGTGGGTAACAAAATTGACTCGTAAACAGGCTCTGGGCCTAACACCAACTATCAGCATGCAATATCTACACATAGCCTCAGATCAATGAGCTGTGGGTAACTCAATTATGCAGCGGGACTGTTTAGTTCCGATTTATTCGAAGTCATTATTGGGCGGAAAAGCGACAAGCGCTGCATCGCAGTATTAATGTGTTTATTTGGTATACCAACAACTTATTCGTTCGTCAAAATATTCCGGGGCTTTACGGCGCCTGCAGGAAACGATGCGTGCACTGCGACAACAGTACTATAAGTTGACTGCCGGCAACAAAGAACTTAAGCTGTTTTCAGAGCACGGAAGAAATCGGTTCTCGAAAAATGTATACTCAATTTATAATACTGCTTAATACCTACTTTTAATGTATAAAGATGAGATTATAGCAGTTTAAAATTTTAATCATGCAAAGATGTAAAAAAAATGTTGAATTTAAACATAAAGCCGGTGCTCAAGATATTGATGAACCTGACAGATTCAACATGAATTTATACTGAGCAAGAATTTTACAGTTAACTTGAAATCTTGTTTAGGTCCATATAAAGAATGAGATGCATAAAACAATTAAAAACATGTTAAATACAACTGATAGTATCAAAACACATTTATTCATGGGTAGGTTGACAAATACAGTAAGGTAATTCAACAGTAGATATGAACATTTTCCCTTGTCAAAAAGTGGCGTCGTTACCTCAAAGGGTAATGTATTGTTAAGCAGTACTTATTACCGCTTAAATGAAATTATGGGACCAATTTTTTCCAGAAATTTTTCATAGGAAAGTTCAAAACCAAACTCTAGTTAAGTAATACTAACAATTCTCTCCTCCAAATTTTACCCACATAATGTTAACATGGATTTGAAGTGAAAAAGCATTGTTCTACATGTACAATTAATTATTTTTACCGTAAGTTATTACAATACTTCAAAAAGAAGATATGACAGTGAATGAGACTCATGTCTCAAGAGAGCTGTATAACCTAGACACGACTTCGAAAGCCCTCACGCGCATCAAAAGCCGAGTAAGCTGAGAAAAAGTAGCTTGAGAACTTTTATCGTCGTGCCATGCGGTAAGAAGTTCATAAGCTTTGTCTTGTAGACGTCTGTTGTCGTTATCGATGTTGTCGAGTTGTCCATTACTGAACTCCATTTCACGACCAAGTGATCGCCACAGGTCGCCGAGATGGTCGCTCACGACAGACTTGTCTTTCTCATTAACGATCCTCGTGACTCTGATGAAGGTCAGGGTGTGAGTTACGAATGTGGAGACAGATATATACTCACTCTATAGTTGCAAGTTGTAAATTCATTATACAGTTACATTAGAATTTAAATAATTTTGAACGTTGAATTTTTACTGCAAATAATTTTGTCCTTTTTGAAGAATAAAAAAAACTGAAAAAAATTACAGTCGATTCGTCATAACACTATATTTTCAAACTCCAGTAAAATTGGTGCCAGTGTGTTTTGTAGGCAATAAATGATAATCAAAGCTTCTAACACATTCCAATATATATTCTAAGATATCTTTGTTCTTATTGGATTATAATTGGTAAATATATAGATTCTTACGAGGAACGTAGGTACAGGCAGTGTCGAGCCCATGGTCATTCACCGTTCATTATCAGCATGACCTCAAACATATTTTTACTCCTCGAGGAAATTTATGAAACTTAATTTATAAAACAAAATCAATCAATTTAAAACAGCGCTTTGCTAAAAACTAAGTAAACAAATCTCAAATTCGAATGAAAAAGAACTCACTGCAGCATCTGCAAGACGTGTTCCCTCTGTGGTCGCGGATCACCGCCAGACCCAATAGCTTGCGCCAGTCCGCGGCTGTGGATGACGGGGCCGTTGATGTGGTACGTCGGTCCGACCTGAACGCCCTGCGAGCCCGTTATGTTGACAACTTCTGGTGCCTGTAGCATTATAAATTGAGAATAATTTCATTTTTTTATTTATAATCATATTAAATTTTCAACATTATTTAATTTCATTTTAGGAGCAAGTGATCTGTGTTTTCCTAACAGTTCAAGCAAAGATGTTAGTATGTTATTAACCTAAAACTTTGCATAAACCTTTGACTTTTAATACTAGGTTAGTTATTTTATTCACACCATCCAGTATTTAGAACGGCGTTGAACGTATTTTTAAAAAATATAAATATGTTTGGCGCTCAAATCGAATTCTTTTCTTGCTCAGCCGCAGGCGTAGTAGAAATTTGCTTTCTCCGCAGGAGACTATGTATGTATATTATAGGATAGACCATGGTCGAACAATATTGGTTCAATCCTGACAAAGTAAAACATTTGGAACGATTTTATCCATTAGTGCAGTGGGAGTTACTTTGGAAAAACATTCAGAAATGTCTGCAATTGTGGAATGTGACATCGATGACCGTTTTGTGGTCATTGATGATTGTGGCACATCGTACATCGTTCAATCGCACAATTGCACCTACGAACAGATTTAATAATTCAATAAATTATTTTTTAATGCATTATGAAATACATTGCAAAATGATATCTTGTGTGACACAATATTTGGAAATATTTCGTACCTTGAACGCGTTGTGCGCAGATGAATCAAAGCCATTTGTGCGTGACTCATTGTTAGCTGTTGAGTTAGACGGCGAGGTGCAACCGCCCATTGGAGCTGCGTCATGCGTTAGGTCGGAAAACATTTTCCTGGAAAAAAATGGCGCGAATGAAAATCTATTAGCAAAAATTTTTTATTTAACTGAGTAGAATAGACAGCATTGTAACGAATCAAGATCTACAAGCATTTCCTGTAACAGATAAGACCATCCGACGTCTTTTCTGTGGAGCCTAACTAATATTTTATGAAGAATTCATGAGAGCATGTGTGAATAAACGGATGAATGCAACATGTCTGAGATTGAGTGGGACTTGCAGAAAGTAGGAATAATAAATATCTCTTTTGTTTGCGAACGGCATAATCCTATCCTCGCGCAGGCCATTTCATTGATGTTCCCTTGGCCTTTAACAAGAAAAACCCTACAGCAGTCGCTAACATAAAGCCTCTCTTGATGAAACCACTTACTGTTTATACTTACAGTGTAAAATAGTCCGGAAGATAATTATTTGTATCTTTAATACTAGCAAATAGCAATCATTCACAGAATACTTGTACAGAGGGAAACATAGCTCACTACTTACTTGGGCACAGCAAGAGCAGAACTGTGGCAACCACACGGATGCCACCTGCAGCAAGCCACGCTAAAATCAAGTTCGATCTTGCAAACAGCGTGCGATTGTGTTTTATGCGTCATCTGTTCTCAGTGCTCGTGAGCAATCTGTAGAGTATTTCTACTCAATATTTTAGTCAAGAAAGTCACAGATTCGTCGAATGAGCAAGGCAATTAATTTTGGTTTATCCTGATAACGTTAAATTCAGTAACTGTACGAAGATATGTTGATTGTAATATATTTAAAAGCGTGCAAGTCTCGTGTGATGAAACGTTCACCGACTTACAGCTTAAAGGGCCTTGAGGAAATCCAGTGCATACGTAAGCGTAAATGACTCACTTAATCTGTTGCAATATGTGACAACACCAATGCAATTCAACAACACAGTTGATGAACTTGAACGGCTAGTTTGCCACAAGAAAACTAGTATATCTCGGTGGGCTGACTGGCTACAAATGTCACCGAGATGTTTGCAATCCACGTTATGCGAATGCAATTTTCAATGCATGTATTTATTTACTCAGTATGGCGTTATTTTTTTTACTCGTGCGGGCGGCCGACGTCCCGTGTAAGCGACCTCTTGTTCGAGTGTCTTCGTTTCTGTTGCTTTTCACCTGTCCCTCCTTGTCACTTCGTCTCTTTTAGATGCTAACGCTGCTTCCTTCGAGCCAGCTTCAGCGGGCTGGACATCCGAGACCTTCCTTAATTTTGGTTTATCCTGATAACGTTAAATTCAGTAACTGTACGAAGATATGTTGATTGTAATAGATTTAAAAGCGTGCAAGTCTCGTGTGATGAAACGTTCACCGACTTACAGCTTAAAGCGTGCAAGTCTCGTCGGCCGCCCGCACGAGTGAGACAGAGAAGGGAAATGTAAGGAATCCTGCCTACATAATACTGTGGGTGATGAATAATTGAGACCTTCCACCTCTATGGTGATGTTCATCTTGACTTTCGGTGCGAGATAGCTTAATAGCTGAAGCGCTAGTAAACATTTGGCCACTAAACTAACTAACTGTAGCGAAGTATTTGAAATGAGCATAGTTGAGCTGACCGTTATTTTTGCGACCTACAAGTGTAAGTTACTGAAAAATTTCACAATAAAGCCCTCAGTAAACATTTATGATACTTCAAATCAAGAATCCTTTCCAATGTCACAGTCGGCCAGTGCATGCTCATCTACTGTATAATGCAAGGTACTTGAATCATATTGATTTGACTAGTCTTTCAAATGGACTATGTGCAATTTTAACAGAAATTGAAACATGGACATGAAATCCGGAAGCAGTTTTGTTCGTTTTTACTGTCGACTTGCTTCAGACGACCATTACCTTGGGAAATGAAACGGAAATCCATACAAAACTTTATTGATCAAAAAATCGTGGCTGACATGGCGGCCCAGTGATGCCTTAAAAGTAATGGTAGTATAGTACAATAACAAACCTGAGGAGGGGCAACATGTTGCTGGCGCGTTCAAGCAAGATGACTGCGCTCCGCAAACCGCGCTATGAAATTCATTGGATATCACTGACTTCAACTGGTAATAAACAGCAACCAAGGATGAAGACAGCAATTCCAATAGTAATCATGCAAATCAACAACACAAGAATACAAAAACGCTAGAAAGAGCCTAAGTCGTCATTAGGACAGGTGTAATGAACTTAATATGAGCTTAATTTACACATGAATGCGAACGAACGTCAAAGAAAGTATTATCTAGTTAACCACACTAAACTAAAAAAAGACGAAATTATGCTTCAGATCACGGCAGATAAAAGGTGAAAGAGCCTCATTTTACGCGAACGAGAAAAATTTAAACCGAAGAAAAGCAAAATTGAAATGTCAGGGGTGTGAAAAACACGAAATTTTGTTGCTAAAGTTAATGCGAGTTGGACAAGCTACTTCCGACGCCATCATCCAACAGTATTCGGTTGAATGACACTGTACAGAAGTTACACAGATAAAAGGAGCATTGGGAAACAATAGGCGATTATTACCTAAAAAATACTCAAGTTTTACCGACTCAATAAATGCTTCTCTGTTTCGGATGAAAGGAAAATGTCATGATTTCATACAGCCCGATGAGTGCATGGCCAATTCTTAAGATAAAGTGTAAATACATGAAAATAAATATGTTTGTTAACATGGAAATCCAGAAAACTGTTAATAAAACACGTGCATAATACATGAATTTTAGACGGCAAAGAGCGCGGATCCGTAAATAAATTCTCATATTACCGAAGGATGAAGTGATCCGAAGAATCAAGACCTCGAATCGAGACTCATAAGAAAGCTCTCTGAACTTCTTCCTCCAGGACGATATGTGAAGTAGAAACCTTGCCATGCTTTGTCATGATCAACTTCCCAGCATAAAACTAATATTCAATCAACTTTGCCAGAGGAAAAGGCATTACGTAGATGGATTTCAGTTCATGGAAGGTCGGTACGGATAATGAAACCTTTTTCAATAATTTAGAAACAAAAATTAATTTTAAAAAGTTGGGAATTCAAAGCGAAACGAAAATTGTTGTCAATAAATACGAGGCTTTGATAGTATCAGAAAGAGCGAAGTTGAGCACAAGCAATTTACACTTCCAAAAGGCTAAGATAATACCACGCGCATTCAATAACGAGCTGCTGCCCTTAATAATTTCATCCTAAGAGGGTGACTCCAAGCATTAGATGCTGAATATAAGAAAATTTTTTAATCACATACTAGAAAAGTTAACATAATATTGGAAGCAACACGGTCCATGACACTAAAATCATTACTCGGTAGGAGGAAAATTTCTTTCAGAAAGATCACTGAAAGGAGCGCAGCACTTACAGGTATCACTCAGAAATAAAGTCCCTCTTGAAAGTCCCCAAGTTTCCATTAAGCGAAAATCAAAAGTTAGGCATGGAACAATGTTATGTGATCCCGCTGATATTATATGATTACATTGTAATACGTCATTATTATTATTATTATTCTAAGTGGAGATTATCGTGGCAAATACAACTCTGTTGACAAGGACTATTCCTCGTTGATGTCAGTTATCAATACAACAGTCCAGTCTACTGATAAACTGAAACCAATATGCCATGTCACTACTGGTCTCAAGACAGCAATAATTACGGCGTTGAACTCGTTACTTGTCAAAGTTCTGCAAGCGATTAATTAAGAATATTACATTAAATCTGTCGGCTCATCACATCAGGCAATGAATGGGGCGCGGCTGCCGAGTCCTACCGATAGATCAAAAATTAATTTTAAAAAGTTGGGAATTCAAAGCGAAACGAAAATTGTTGTCAATAAATACGAGGCTTTGATAGTATCAGAAAGAGCGAAGTTGAGCACAAGCAATTTACACTTCCAAAAGGCTAAGATAATACCACGCGCATTCAATAACGAGCTGCTGCCCTTAATAATTTCATCCTAAGAGGGTGACTCCAAGCATTAGATGCTGAATATAAGAAAATTTTTTAATCACATACTAGAAAAGTTAACATAATATTGGAAGCAACACGGTCCATGACACTAAAATCATTACTCGGTAGGAGGAAAATTTCTTTCAGAAAGATCACTGAAAGGAGCGCAACACTTACAGGTATCACTCAGAAATAAAGTCCCTCTTGAAAGTCCCCAAGTTTCCATTAAGCAGAAATCAAAAAAGTTAGTCATTGGAACAATGTTATGTGATCCCGCTGATATTATATGATTACATTGTAATACGTCATTATTATTATTATTATTCTAAGTGGAGATTATCGTGGCAAATACAACTCTGTTGACAAGGACTATTCCTCGTTGATGTCAGTTATCAATACAGCAGTCCAGTCTACTGATAAACTGAAACCAATATGCCATGTCACTACTGGTCTCAAGACAGCAATAATTACGGCGTTGAACTCGTTACTTGTCAAAGTTCGGCAAGCGATTAATTAAGAATATTACATTAAATCTGTCGGCTCATCACATCAGGCAATGAATGGGGCGCGGCTGCCGAGTCCTACCGATAGATCGATCATTTACGCGCTATAGAAAAACAGCATGAGCTATTGGGGAAAACCATGAACTGTTAAGAAAGACGTTCACTCGAAGTATATTACGTAACTCCACCAAGATGGCGATAGTGGCTTGAGTATCCACAGACAGCAACTATATACATACTCTCTCAAAAACATTTACAATAATACGTCTAACATGTAAAACATTTACAAGATTAAATACAGTACCTTCAGCATTCTTTGAAATTGTACCTAGCAAGCCTGAATACTTGAGGCTACTTGGTCATGAGCATTTCTTCCATTATTCAACCGAGAAACAACGATCTGCTGGACCGCAACGACGAATCTAACAGGCAGATGTTGACTTTGAATCTCAAAGAAGTTCCCATCATACGCATGCGTTAGAAAAACATAGCAATTACACGTGGTCGCAACATACAACAACAAAAAAAAATTACGATCACAGTAAGAAGAACGACGGCCGTTCAATTCACTAGCACTCATTAGATCACCACAACAAACTCAGTATGGATATGGTACCAAAATAATAGTGGCACAATATTCTCAATGCTATCGTACTACGAAAGTAATAATAATAATTTAATACGGATAATTTTCGGACGAGAAAAAAAACAGAATAAATAAATGATGAACATGTATAATCAGGAGTTTGGTCATGACAAATAATGCGGAAGTGGCGGTAGAAGTGATGTAGACTGAACACGTGCCCTCACTCTTCACATTTATTCGAGTTAAATTTAAGATAAAAACTATAACCACATAATGATCTCCAACAAAAATTCACGACTGAAAAGATTCACCTAAAAACATAGCTATGTTGGAAAGCCATCCATTTTCAGAAAATGGTACATAGCAACTAATCCCCATTGACTACACTATAATGACATCAATAAAAATTTAAAACTAAGCTTAAGGACGAGCTTGGTGTCAGAAAAATAAATTAAACAAGGGAGAGTTAGGTTTCTATGCAAGTGCCAGTAGAGTGAGCCACTAATACCTTGAAATCACGTCGTTCGTAGCGACAAAACTATTCTTGAGTATTTAGGAAATCACGGAAATAAAGCTGGAAGACATTTTGTTAGAAATCAATTCAGCTTTATTAGAATATTAACACGTGCACTCAACAAGTACTTTGTGTAGAGGCCAACTGAACCGCTAATTCACGCATTAAAAATGTTGTCACAGAAAATACCATCCGTTGCGAAATATTTAGTACTAAGTTACAGGTGTCTCTTCATTATGATGTGAACGGTATTCAAAACATTATAGAAAACAAACAAGGCCAGAACAAAAACGAACATTTAGTAGAAAATAACGTTGTATGAAGCAAAGCGTCATTAATGCTTGTGGATCTGCGGCGCGATTCACAAAACAATATGACGGAGCACTGAACGTTGGCACTTAGGAGAGCTTCAATACACCAGCACTATTAACCGCCACGAGAATATAACATCCTTTTCTGACAGGAAGCTCAGTCATGTACTACGAAACGCCCGTAACTATGGAACAGTAACAAAACACATCTTTACTAAAAATCCTAGAGCTCATTCATAAATCAAATTAAGAGACGAGACCACGCAATCTACACGCAACGCTAAACTATAAGTACTCCACAAACACAAATGAGCCGAGTAATAAGATAATATATTTTTTCATATTTATAGGCAGTCCAGGAGTATTAATCCATAAGCCAATACATCTTCAAGATAAGCAATACAAACGAGCTTACTACAAATGTACAGCTCTCTAGTATATATGCTTACATGAACGATTTTGCATACGCCACCCGTTATGGCTGCTTTGGATGATTTTCTGACACGAGAGGTAGCGCGATTTTGAAATTGATCGCGATAGATGCTTTGGGATAACCGGCACAAAACTACATGAACAAAACACTACACCTTTTTTTCTTTCCGTACTTCTCCAACGAGATTATATTCGCATGTTTAGCGCATTATTCTGTAGAAGTTGTTGACGCTATCAAGCTAGAAAAGATTTTCACTGCTACGTCCATCACTCGAGTTCAGCAAGAACATCAAAATCTCATTTCTTTGGTTGTCAAGTACTTTCACAATACAACACGAAGCTACAGTAAACACAAACTTTACCTTGTTGAGAAGCAGTGACAATTCCTGTACTTCCTCGACAGCAGAAACTATGAAGGCAACGCTTATAGCACTTAATCCAAACTATTATCATAATGCAATCTTGCAATCAACGAGCTCATTGATATCAATCAAGCATATAAAAACGAGGTACAGTCTAACATCATTAAACTATAATAATAAAGCCCAAGTCACCAACGAACGCTTAAGACTCCAACAGGTTGGTCCAGACGTTCACAAAATGTATCAGAAGTTATATTGTAAAAAAAAAGTTTAACGAGCGAAAATGAGCAGGGAAATTGTCCGATCGTTCAATCAAAGTGCGCCGTGTAACTCGTTTTAATTACTAGTGAATTAACTAAGTTGAAGGGAAATGATTCATAAAAGTATAGTCATTAACTGACTAAAGAACGAAAATTGAAAACAAAGCAAAAAGGTCCCAAAAAAAAGAGAAATTCATTTGTTCGAAAAAGTGGGCGATTTTTTTTCACGGTAAAAAAGTTATTCCATAATGCGAAAAAATGTACTATTAAGTGGCAGAAGTAGTATCGGTAGGAAGATGATTTTCGAACAGTTCGTTGGTTTTCAAACCCGTTTAAGCAGAAGTGCTCATTGTCATCAAGAAGCTTCCACGAAAGGTTCGAGGTCTTTGAGCTGTGGCAGGACGATGGTGTGTAGGTGCTGGCCGGGAGGTGAAGAAATCATGTCACTTCCTCCCTGGCGTCATGAATCTTCCATATCAAAATCGAGAACAAGGAGCTTGGTTTCTTCGGTGCCGTTGCGGGAGCCTACAGCACACACCAGTTTTGTTTCTGATGCCCTGATCCGCCATACAACTCCTCCGGAATTGCCTGAAAATTTAGATACATGAAGATTCCAGACTAAGAACACAGAGCACGAGAATGCATCTCCGGACATGACTAAAAATAACAAAAAAAGACGAGGAAAAAAGCGATTGCATGGTTGAATCTACAACTGTACACTCAATACAGTATTAGAAATTTTGAATATTCTTTAATATTGAGTGAACAATCAAGCTTACAAATTTCGAAGGTGACCTTTGATTTGAATTATACGTGTTAGGTACTTAGAACAACTTTTTCAATCTGCTAAGATGTAGGGAAAAATTTACAAGAGTTTAAGAAAATTAACAATGATCATCACAATTTAATTTCCACAAGATAGAGCTAGACTGAACAGCAAGTGAAAAAGCATTTGTCTCAACTAATACGAACTTATAATAATTTCCAAGTAAACATTAATCTCGTAATTATAGACGAAATTTTAATCGAGTTTATCCGACCAAATCCTCCATTAATTCGGACAATAGCGTTATTCGTTTTAATGGGGTATCTCAAGTTATATAAACAATAACATTAAGAGTTCAATGAGGTTCACACACAAAAAATCTCACCTGTGTCTAGCGTCACCAAATTTCTAACAAACTCTCCGGTGCTAACGTCCCAGAGCTTTACTGTTCCATCATCGGATGAAGTCACAACGAAAGTGTTGATGAACTGTAGGCAAGTAACCGCACTTCGATGCTTGTTAGAACCTGTTATTTAGAAATTGTTTTAAAAACGGTGAAAATCAGCAAAAATATCACTTAAAATAATCTTCAGTTGACCCCCCTACTACCTTCTGTGAAGTACATGTATTGAAAAAAACTATCCTGTCGAGATAGAAATTATAATGCCGCAGATAAGAAATTGATGATAAAAGAGGCGTCTAGAATAAGTCATAGTAATGAAGCTCGCATCTAAATATTATAAGTTTATGGAAAAACAAAAAAAAAAAAAACAGAAATATAATAGATTCCAAACCACACTGTTAGGAAATATTCTTCAGTGAATTTGTATTGCATTACAATTAGAAACAGAGCACCAAATAATGATGCATTCAAATAAAAGATTTTTTAACGACACTAACCAGACAAGGTCTGAAGGCAATGTCCGGTGACGATATCCCAAACTTTAACAGTGGAATCCGCATTGCCGGAGATGAGGATGTTGTTGTGGAGTTCCATTCCTGAAGTAAGGGACTGGTGCCCCATGAGAGTGTGGCGACATGTGCCGCTCTCCACGTCCCAAACGCGGATTGTGGTGTCCAGGGATCCACTCACAACGTGAACACCGTCAAACTGAAGCGAAAACGTAAAATAAAAATCTACACGTGCAGCTCAGGGGACGCTCTCGCAGCCTAAAGATACAAAACATATTTACAAATAAGAACGTTAAATCATAATTAAACAAGCAATAGATCTCATGGAATATAATTAGTACAAGTCCAATAAAAGAAAACAATTGAAATGGGATAATTCGCATCACCTGCAAAGAGTAAACTCTGTTGGTGTGTCCCTGTAAAGTGTGCAGGCATTCTTCAGTTTCAGGGTTCCAGACTTTGACCATAAAGTCGTAAGCACCGGAGACCACAAGACGACCGTTGTACTGAACGCAACGCACAGCTGCCACGTGCCCCACGAGAACGTGGTTACACGTGCCTGTAGTCACGTCCCAAACACGGAGTGTTGCATCACGGGACCCGCTCACAACGCTGTTCAGGAGATTAACATGTGAATAAAGAACTATGGGTTAACTAACTCCATTACACATAAAATGTATCAGCAACTTGTTATTCAAGTAATCAGATCCTATTACATTCGACAAAAGACGAAGGCTTTTTGAACAAGTAGTTAGTTACTATACAACTTGTCAAGTTCAACTGTCATGATCAGAAGTCATGACAGTAAAAATTGAATCGTAATAAATATTGCAGAATGCTACCTATTGCCAACAGACAGGACCACCTCATGTGACCAAAAGACATCAATTCTCACATGTTATTGTGGAGATGCAGACAACGAACGGTGCTTGTGTGGCCATAGAGGGTCTGGGTGCAATGGCCGGTCTCAGCGTCCCAGACTCGCAGCATGCGGTCTGTGCTACCCGACACGATGATGTTGTCCCTCATCTGACTCGACCACACGCCCCCAGTGTGGCCCGTCAGCGTACGCATGCACTTTAATACCAGCAATAAGTCAGAATAACAACAAAATTCGCACAAGTATTCACAGTTACCAGTAAAAAAATATTCAAAAATCTTTAGCAGTATATTTCAGCTCTAATTTGGAAAAATATTTCATTTTCAGGTAGCAGTGATGAACTATTTCTTATACATTCATAAATATTTCACTGTAAACTTCTTCTTGGTGCAAAGATTCTTGCTACTAAAATGATGTATTTTTTGTATATACCTTGCTAGTAGTGGCGTTCCAGACTTTAAGCGTGTTGTCGTCTGAACCTGAGACGATTGTGTTACCAGAGAACTGTAGGCAGGTAATGACGTGATCGTCATGACCCTTCAACACACGAGGAGGTCGTAAAGGATTCACGCGCCAGTTGCACTCGATATTGTGCCGGCGCATGAAGATGCTCTGTCGAGATTTATGACAGTAAAATTAATATTTACGACCATGACATGTGCGGTAATAACAAAAAGTAGACATGGTTGCTCATATGGGAACTTATGATTACTTAGGCGAAAACCTGGCAAAACAAAAACGCTGAGATGTTTCCTCTGCTACTTAATTTTATAAAAATTATAATTTTAAAATAAACTCGGAATAATTGCATATAAATAGGTTAGCCTCAAATTCCACTTATTTATCTGTGATACCGTTTTGCATTAATAGAACATAATAAAGAAGGAGACTTGATGAAGTGGGCAAATTCTAATCGTGAAGAACAGCACAACTCACTTTATAAGGCGACACGCTGCTGACACTGGTTCCCTTCCTTCTGCGCTTATCCATGTGGTCGAGGAAGTTTTCAATGCCAGCTTCTTTACATTTCTCCCGCCATAGTAAATTGTCAGCTGTAAGCATATTCCAGTACTTGCAAGCTTGAGCGGCCTTCAGCAGGTCTCTGGGAGAGAGGAAGCTTAGCACATAGAGAGCCAATTCTTTGGGAAGGAGGCTGATGAAGTCACGTTGGAACATCGGTAGAATGACTTGGTGAACATGGCGCACCTGAACAAGAAACAATTAAAAATATTAATGTGAGTACAAGTTTACTATGTATGGTTTGAAAGTACAAGTTTAGTATGAACGGTTTGCAAAATTCAAGCGTAATAACGGTAAAACGCTGTTTCTGTCCTAATGCAAATAGGATAAAAGTAGGGCTTTATTGAAGATGCAATCCATCCCTGAAATTATCCACGGTAAGTACAAATTAGAACCTCTGACATTAATTTCGAGTTGAAACTTGAAAACAATACAAATAATTTGATTGTAACTATGGCTCCTTAGTGTCTAAAAAACTAAACAAAATCTCACTAAATTGAAAATAAATTAATAAACCTGTCTCAGTCATCTCAATGTAAGACCTAAACACAGACCTGTCCTAGATCACAGGCATCGATGAGCGAGTCTAGGGCGAAGAGCCTCTCTGCAGCATTCCAAGTGTTGAACTGCGTCAACCACGTCGTCAGGCCTTGCGGTGCCGGTACATTACGCCTTGATGCGACGCTGCTGTTGCTTGAGATGCTCGATATACTTGTGTTGGCAAGACTAAGACTGCAGGAAAAAATTCAAATGGATTCGCGCGAACTATATTTTTTTCAAACGAATTTATCAAGGTATAGTAGTATAATTATGACATTTGATATGCATTAACTTCCTTCAACAAAGCTATTCATAAAAGGTGCCATACACTTGCCATATATGGCTCAACAACGTTTAGTTGATAACGCAAGTCATGATATTTATTCAATTCGTTTGACCAGCTTCTAATAGTTGAAGTCCGAATAATTAAAATGATTACGGCTATTAATGAAAAAGAAAGGTGCATTATCAGATAAACATTAAGAAAATTTCAACTTTTTTGGACTAGTGAAACGTAACAATTTCAATTTTAAGTTAACCTGAATGACAATGTTAAAAAAAATTTGAGGAATTTACTCAAAACATTTAAACAACGTGGTTAGGTTATGCAAGATAAGTAAATGTAATTCAAAAATGAATTTTCTCGATAACTCGAATGCAGGAGACAAAGTCCAATTTTACAACTTATATGCTATGATAAAATTCATTTTTTTCGCTTACTAAATTAATCTAGTTGTACGATCCTTCCAGCTTTCAACTATATCTGAGTTTTCAGTTGCCAATTATTTTAAGGAAATTTTCAAAATTCATATCCAAGACATTGAAAATTCCAGTAACGTTATGGTATCAGAGAAACTACTTACCTGGCATTATCTGACTTGCAAGACTTTTTGACGGGTAGAAGCAATCGAAGTTCACCACCGGTGTCAAATTTTCTTTTACCCTGTCAAATTATAATAAAAGATCAGAATTTAGTAAAGTAATATTCATGCAATTGGAATGGAAGGAATAGAAAATGTTCAGAGCCTGTAATTTGATAATAGGATCAATACAACATTTGCTAGAGAAGATAGTATTGCAAACCTTATAAACGTTTAAGCGTTCATCTCTAGTGAAATTAGCATCGAGTTCTGATAATTTCGTTTAATTGACATCTCTACAAAAAAATCATCCAGAGACACTTTACCTGCTTCTTATTTTTATGAGGCGAATTAGACACAGACTCCACTATCATAAGATCTTCTTCGTCATCCTCTTCATCAACATCCTCCTCACTCTCCTCTTCTGCTTCCTCGCCTTCATCTGATGGATCTAAATCATCGTCAGGCAGACACACGATGCTAGGCGAGTTACTTAGATCCATTGCCGAATCAGAAGCAGAGTCAGAGACGCGGGCAGATCGACTCGATTGATCTTGCAGTTGTTTCCCCGCTGGAGAAGCAATATGGGCTCTAGAAGTTTCGCCACCTGCGTTACTGACGCTTGCATCACTGCATCCTTGCTCGGGAGCACCAGTGCTGTTGTCACTTGCTCTGCGTCTCAAGTGGTGCTTACGTGCACTGAGATTCAAGAGCTGTCTGCTGCCATTACTGCATGAACCAGACAAGGAACTAACGTCATACAAGTCAGGAGTACGGACCCTACTTTTAAGTGCTTCGAGTCCAGAATTAACATTAGCAACAGACACAGCCGGTATTCGCTCTATATCTATAGTATTGGGAGACAGGCTACGAGCTCCATGGTGGTCCATTGATTCTTCATAAGGCGTGTCACTGCCCAGAACAGCTGCTGAAGTCCCAACAGATCCAGGGCCAGCGATGGAAGGTCCGGAATTGCGGAGGACAGCGGCGATCTCTTCATGAGTTTCATGCATGCTGTTCTCATTTATATTGGCATCTATCATTGAGCTATCTTCGTTGAAATGGAAATCGGCCTTATCAGCCTGATCTTCAACAGAGCTGTTTTCCCTAACTCTTAATTTATTAAGTTCTGCTTCACCTAACTCATCTCCAATTAAGAAATCACTACAAGAGCTTCCACAAGGAAGCAATTTATTAGATCTTCTATTTCTACTTATGCTACTGTAACAGGGCGGTTCTATAGAGCCTAATCTGTTGTTTTCTAGTCTGCTATCGCAAGCATCACCAAGCTGGGCCCATTCCATGGTACCTTCATCATTTAAATTATGAAATTCTAAAGCAGATTTAGGGTCAATAGGTTCTTCAGAAGTATCACTATCAATTCTCTGTCTGGTCCGGACGTTCGTTTGAGGACATATTGATGTGCTGGATTTGGGTGAAGTATTTTTGCCCAAAGATCCTGACAATCTTGCACCACGGACACTGGATGAATTGAGCGATGCCTGAGGTCCTGGACTACCTCCATTACTGCTGCTGCTGCCACTGCTGCTGCTGGTGGGTATGGCGGAAGACAAAGCTTCCTGAAGTTGAGAGGAACGGCGGGAGCTACGTCGGGACTGAGGAGTAGACTTGCAACTCATGTGAGGTGTGTAGCTAGCACTGACTGGAGGTGAGCGCAGAGATTTGTGAGGTGTGCTACTTAGGCAGCCACGGCTACTTGACCGGCTGGAATCGTCAGGCGAGTCTTCGACCTCGTCTTGAGCCAACTGATGCACTGGAACTTCACAAACAAGAACCCCCTTGTTTTGGTCTAATACATTGCGACCGATCCCTGGTACATTGAGAAGCTCTTCCAAGCTACTGAAGGGACCTTTCACCTGCAAAAAAACGTATAACTAGAGATATTGAATTATGTCCTTCTAATTAAACCTCATGATTTTTGAGGTCATAAGTGATGGAGTGGAAATATAAACTCCCGTAACTTTACCAAAAAATATAAAATAATTTAAGCTTTTCCACCATAAGGCCAGTAATATACAGGATTCCTTTATTAAACAAATGAAATTTCCTGAGTTCTGTTCACTTTCTTTTTGGAATGTACATTATAAAGGGAGATAAAAAAAAAACAATTTTATGGTCACTTCAGCAAATTGAATATCAATAAGCAAGCTCACTAATTAACAGATGTGGTAAAGCACTCACCATCCTTGTGGTAAATATAGCCTCAGCTTTGGCACGTCCAACTCCAAAAAGTGTCTCAAGATCCTTCACTGTAGCTGTATTGATATCCACTATCTCCCCTTCCTCAGCCATAATCACAGTCTGAAAAGCAAACAAAATGTTGTTAGTTGTCAAAAATGTGAATCAATAGAATGTAAATTTCACATTCTACAAGCTTAAATTGTTTCTTTGACACAATAAAAAGTCAGTTTTCTGCAAATATTTCTTTCTAAATATTTCTATTTCTTTCTATATGCAGATACCACTTGCTTTTTTCTAGCAGGTAGCCACATGAGAAAGGTTATGTACAGCGACTTACTATGGTAACAAGCCCATGACTTGAACTAACTTGGCAAGAGTTAAGATTTTGGGACTGTTAATATGAAGAGAAAGCTTTATTCAAAAAGTACTTACTGTTATAGTCTTTTCTTATGTACAGAATAATTTTCTATCGAGAATCTCCCTGCAATAAATTTAAGAGAAGAAAAATAACAAGACTGCCAAAAAATAATGTATCAAACATGTGATATTGGACTGGATTCTATCCAGCACCATCAGCCTACTTATTGAACATGGATATTTTTGGGCCTATTCCCAGGAGTTCAAAAGAACTAATGGCATGTGCTGATGAGTTGCTCATTATTTGTGGGTAAATACAAGTGGCAGATATATATATCTCAGCTCATCAGATTGTTATGCAATGGTAATTTAAAAATTTTGTTCTTTGTTCTGTCTATTAAAATTCACATTCCATTTTAATTTGACAGAGACCTTGAAGATTAAGTTATATTAGTTATAGGTTTTGAAAAAATCAATGAAGCATTAGCAATCAATATTATTTGAAAGCTTATGTGATATGGAGGTGACTTGTATGGTGTTCTTGGCTGCTGTGTTACTCTCAGCAAGGCAAGCGCATTTTGATTCCTATGAACTATTTGATTTATTGCAGGTTATTGACTTCTTGTAATTTAATGCACATCATGTCACTCTTTTGGTCTGGCCCAACACTTAAGAATACCTCTCTGACACATTAATTGTACTGGCTGTAGTGCTGGCTTCTGAGCCTTAACGGCCCCTTATGGTGCTTTAACCTAATTTACCAACTTAGCAAAGTTTTTTCGGCCATTCATTAATTTCCTAACAATTGCACTGTTAAACACCATTATACCTCTGAACAGCTTTCATACCACTTCTAAATTGAGCCAGCAATAATAATTTAGGTTAGTCTAACAATATTAAGTTTTACTTTGTATAATGGATATATATTTATTGATCTTAATCTTAATAATGAAGAATTGAAACAGATTCCATAGTGCTTACTTGTACGTTCAATCTGATTTTTAACCATTAATTTACAATATAACCCCTGGCATTCTTGTTGCATCTCATTCCATGTGCTCCATGCCTCAAGTGCTGCCAGGGCGACAGCTAATTTTTGCAGAATACATGTTTTCATTCAAAGTTGGACTGGGAAATGTGTTCACTGTCAAGTCTCATACCACTAAATTGGAAATACCGTACAGAGCATAATTGTTATAGTCATTTCTCAAGCTCCGGCATTCATATTGTAAGATATATTTTTTGCTAATTTCAGTTCCCCCACTGTAGTTTTGTATAGTCTACTTTGCTCGATCTGAAGTCTTATCCATTGGAGTTTTGATAAAATTGTTAGCTGCTGTGTTTGTATGATTTCCTTACAGTTTGCCATGTGTATACACCCACACATTTAGAACATAAGCCTGTGGTAAACACAGAAAACTTAAGTTTTCCTGATATTTTGCAACTTAAGAATCACATATATTGGTCGTGTAAAATCTAAGAGCTCACATAAACAGTTTAAACACTAACAATTTGATACAAAAAGTAGAATATCCCAACAATGAAGATCTATTTGCCAGATTGGCAGCTTGTCCAGTATATACATTTTTCAANATTATTTTTAACTTATCTTTCCTTTAGTGATATGATATTAACATATCCATACATTACCATATCCATGAACATGCCACTGAGCATTTATAATGACTTTGTCCACTGCAAGCTTCATATCAGCAGCCATATAGCCCTTTTCTGTATCTTTAACACGTTAAGTGTGGCACAACCCACCGGTGGGTCGTAGCCAATATCCCTCTGCTGCGAAATGACCCACTGGTGGGTCGCTTATAAAAATAATATAATACCAAATATGGATAAGAGCCCATAAAATTAGTTTCATTGAAATATACAGCATATTTGTGTTAGTATCATTAAATAAAAGTTTTAAATGATAATTCCTCCTAGCCGTAGCTTATTCCTCTGTATTGCAACTCTGCATTACCACCCCGTATAAAAGATACATTATCTTTACTGATGTGTCTTACTTATTCCTAACTACCTTAGTCAACAAAACCCAATCCTCAGGTAGAGCTTAATATAATGAGTTCAATGTCTTGAGTGTAACCTAAACTTGGATATTTACTATAACAAAAAAAAAATTGTAAAAACACACCTGAAACAGAAAGGAATATTCTAGTGACAACCATCATATTTTACGGAGAAATAAATCATAGTTTAGGTTAATTACTTTCCATTTTATGTTGCCTGGTGCACAATTCTATCTATGACATTCTCTGCACAATTTTGTGATGACCAATGATGCATCAATTTTTGTTAAGTGAAATTTTTTTTTGCTGAGTGAGGTAAATATATTATATTATCAAAATGTTTTGTTGTTAATTGATTTTTTTTTTTTTTTGTTAACTGGAGCCTTTGCTAGTCAAGGTTCTATTGTAATCGAGTTCAATGCATCATCAGTCATCACAAAATTGTGCATAGAAGGTCATAGATAGAATTTTGCCAAGGGCAACATCGAATAAAAAGAATATAATTAACCTAAACTATGATTTATTTCTCCAAAAAATATAATGGTTCCCACTTAAATATTCCTTTCTTTTTCATGTGTGTTTTTACCATCTTTTCTTGTTATAGTGAATTCACTTGACCCAATTAAAATGGTGCAAAATTACAAGCCCTGTTCTGTGAGCTTACAGATGCAGAAGAAATGCTATATGGCTGCTTATATGAAGCTGGCAGTGGACAAGGTCATTGTCAATGCCATGTCCATGGATACAGTAAATTCACATCAATAATATGGTAATGTATAGATATGGAAATATCATATCAATAAAGGAAAAACAAGCACAAATCACAGAAAATGTAATTTTTCTATATGTACCTTTTCTATAAAAGAAGAGGAGGACTTCACAGTACTGTTAGCAATGGATGAGTACATTCTGCATCATGCATGGTGGCATTCTAAATGCTGTAGAGGAAATTCATCTGATATGGCAACAGCGCCACGTCATCATAGCTAATTACTAGCCGCAGGTCTCCGCTGTTGTTGATTGTCTCTTCAGAACTCATGGGAGGTGGTTGGCGCTCTGATAGTCTTCCGCCTTCGGCAAGTCAGACTTGCGATACCTGTTAGTTTACCTGCCTTGAGCAGCATTGTCCATATCTGCAGTTAGACGGTCACACTGTACGGTCAAATATTTAGTCTCTCGTAATCCCTCGGCTCCTCTTATCATGCCTTCCAAGGAGTCTGACCTGCCTCATGGAGTCTGACCTGCCTCACGGAGTCTGACCTGCCTCATGGAGTCTGACCTGCCTCGTGAGCCATACCTGCCTCGTGAGCCGTACCTGCATCTCGGAGCCCATCCTGCATCTGGGGCTTCCCCTTAGTTTACCAACCTTAAGTATATGTTTAAGAATCTGTTGCGTTTCTGTCACCTCCCTTGGCTTGGTTTGGTTACTCTTGAGCGGCTGTGGACCCAATTGGCTGGACTAACTCAGGGACCATAATTTGGGATCTTCCAAGCTTCACTTGGATCTCTGGAGTGAGTCCTGATTCCTTTACAAATGCCTTCTTAATAACCATCTACCAATGGAAATTAGGAGAGCATGACCTGGAAAAGGAGTGAATGCCCTAGCAGACTGCACTACAGCCCTCCAGCAACAAAATCACTGTCATATCATCCACATTTCATACTCCTGTCTATTCTCTTTGAATTGCACTGCTCACTTTTCCTGCAACAACCCCCCCCCCTCCCAGTCTTCAAGTGTGGAGCAATCTGTTTGTGGTGGTGGAGCTGCATGACTCCAGATCCCTCAATTCCAGCATGTCTGCATGCTTCGAACTTTGTAAAATCAAAATTCAAGACTCAAAATTCCATATTCATTGGAATTAATTTATATTGAAGCCTTGAGATTTTTATAAGAATGAATACACAAATCTTAGTAGTGAGGAAGACCTTCTAGTCTGCTACAGAATTCTCATACTCATTTATTATTATACATTACTGAAGCCATGGGGCTCTAATGCTAGTGTCAAAAATGACTTTTTTTACTCTTCTTCTAGTTCATTTTTGAGTCCTTTATGTAGAACACTCAGACCAGTTATATCATGGATACCAACATTTTCATACATAGGCCTAAGATATTAATTTAAAGCTTGAACAGGAGATTAAAAATTACCCAATTTTAAAAAACCTGTGGTTTGATACTGTGCTCTAATGAAACTTTTATTTCTCCAATATTCAAAATCTTCCAGCCATGATGTGCAATTTTGTTAGCAATCACCATTCACCAGATAAGAATTAATCTTGTAAGAATCTCTCTCAAAGTTAAACCAACAGTTTTCAGAAAAATTAGGTAGGGTAAACGCGGTATATTCCAACACATTAAGGACACATCGAGAAATGAAAAACTATAAAAAAATAACCGTATGCATTCCTCAAGTTCTGTTTCCTTTACGTGACTCTCAAAACACCGCACTATGTGCCAGCAACAATGAAACGTTACAAAGTGTTGCTATATTTATTTAAAAGCCTTTAGAATGCAAACCTACCAAATCCCTATATTTTGACGCTGTGTGTGACTAAATTCTGCATGTTGTGAGACAAATTCTGGCCGCACTTCAAACTCTACTAATACGTAATTCCGACATCCTTGTGTTCGAATCCCGATTGCTGTGTGAGCTGTATTAGAATATGACACAGCTTTGAATTAGAACACTATTGAATATTGAACACTACTTAATTAGGCTTATAATTAACAGCTATTAAGCTTTTAATTAAGAAAATTTTAATTTTTGCACACAGCTTGGAACGAGCTGTGTGTGTCCAATTCAAGTTGTGTCGGAATTAGTTTTTATGTGTCTAAATCCACCCTGAGCTAGGCAGTCACCAGGCCGATTGCTGAAGCCAGAATGCTCGACAGTCAAGTTGAGTCAACACCTTATCAAGTATTAACTACCACTCACTTGCAATGAACAAATTTTGAAAGATGTTCATCAAATATTCTAAAAGTTGTTACCATTTTTAGAATAGAAATCGCAAGGCTAGTTCAATTAATGTTATGTAAAACAAACTAATTTGAACATCGTACTTCCGTCCTACGCGCAAATAGGCGAGCAATGTAGGTACAGAAACATGGATGCTGCAGACGAACGAAAAGCAGAAAAATATATACATATTCGTGATCATAAATAAAAGGCAGAAACTGAAGGAATACGCAAAGGCATTATAGTACATAACTCGTCATGCACAGAGAAACGTTCAAAACTTGAGTGTGTTGACGAAACTTCTCAACCAGCGCGACCCAAATCATCCGCCATATTGAATTTCCGGTACAATTAAGTAAATATTTTTATTGCTTACTGGAACGTTGCAAAAGGCTTAATTACAATATAAGATGTTTACATACCTTCTACAAACTGTATTAAGCTCACATGAGTGATGTGACAATTTTGACAAGCGTAGCGTAGTATTGCCTAGCTCACACAGCAGCGATGGATCGCATCACGCACACCTCACGAGATGATTGGTCAAACTTCCTGCTGTTCATATGACGGGACTAGCAACAGGAACTAAACATTGTAAATGATTATCGATGCGTACTTGCGCTGCTCGGATAGAAGTTGAAAACCATTGTTTTTTACGCATGAATCATGCAAATGACAATTTATAAGATTAATTATGCGCGAGAAATTCATGTGGGGGTTATGCTTATAATAAGAAATATGTCTACATGGTTAAGCATGTCAACTGAAAAATGAAGTATAGCTGCCTTTCTTTTATGGAAAACTTTTCAAGATTTCTTAAGGATGATCAAAGAAATTGAAATATAATGCAATATTATGATTGGAAATTAACTATTTACATTGAAATGAGAACAATTAGTACAAATGATAGTCCAAGCTGTGTAGGTCTGGACGTTTTTCTATAGCAGATTTTCCACACATAAGCATAGCATAGTGAAGTCGACGCTAAAGAATAGGCTGATGCTGCCCATGGATGTGGCCTGTCGCCGATTCTTGTACTTTTCGTGACTTGTCCATAGGAGATCTAAACACAGGACCTTCAACCGGATCTTTTCCAAACTGTTGATAGGTTGAAATATTTACTTGAGTTCCACCGGGTTCGATCTGGTGCTAGGCATTTCAACTCTGAACATACATTTCTCTATAGCTTTATCTAGTCTGCTCTTGAACGCGTTTATGCTCGGAAAGTCTACGATGTAATCGGTGTGGCAGTTCCACATGTCGGTGATTCGAAGCGAGAAAAAATGTTGTCGCGTGGAGGAGTTGCAAAGCAGCTTTTTTGTTTAAAGCCGAGGCCCATGGTGTTGGTTCTTGCTTCAAATTATAGTAATCCTTCTGGGACCTTTTAGCAGCCATGCGTATACTTGTATACCTCAATGAGGTCCCCACGCATACGTCGATAGCAGAGGCTTGGAAGATTCATAATATTTAAGCTTTCTTCATAGGACCTGCCTTTCAAGCCTGAAATTATCCTTGTTGCACGTCTTAGCAAACTCTCCACTAATTTTTTTTTGCCATAAGTTTGTCAAATCAAAACCGATCAAGACCAAATTAAAAATGAAGATATTCACTAGCATTACGCTCATGATAGCATCGACTGAATTTTTTCTTTTGTCTTTTTAGACTCTAATCAATTAGCGCTCTAAACGCCAAGTTTTAGCAGGTGTTTCACGTATAAATTTTTCAATTCTAACCCGATCCTGACCTAATCAACAACGTAGATAATTATTTACAATAGACCCCAGCGAGCGTTGTCAGAATTTTTTTGATCGCTTCGTTTTCCTGTAGTGTTCACAGATTACGACAAATGAAACCTTAACATCGCCATGCTATATGCATGTGCGCACCGGGCGCACGCATGGTACCGTCCACTGGAACAGTCAATGGTCGGAAATTGCAAGCAACGACGCAGTCCACTCGTGTCGTGCGTCTGCAAAGTCATGTGACAAACCATGCCGATGGTGGACAGAAGGTCGTTCAGCTGATAGGTCGTCAACCCGATCCAGTCGAACGTTTAAATCGCCGGTGATAGGAAGGACGTGATCAGGTAAAGTCCCAAGTCTAGTGAAGACCTCACTCAATTCGACGAAAAAATAGCGCGCCATAACAAACGACCTAGGATAATAGAGGGTGACTGCAACGCCCGTAAACGAGGCGCAGATGACCCTAGCACATAGCAGCTCAAAGGTGGTGGGTCGGGCCCCGATGTCGCGACGATGGCGACGGTATCGTCCCCCGATGTGCGACGTTGTTGGCGACGGTATCCACTCCAATGTTCAATTCGTCGCTATGGTGTCGGATTGCATGCGGGGCCGTGCGCACTCGACTAACTGGAGTCCATCAGCGCGATGCAAATTGAGTCAGCATAGTGTCAAGTCTCGGTCAGGAAAACGAAACCTAATAAGCGCGAGCGACAGATGTGAAGAAACTCATCAACCTTGTTATTCAGTGAACGGATGTTGAGGCAGCCAAACGGTAACCGGCAACACGGTGCGCACAGCGGCGATCAACACGAACGCTAAGCAGTTTTCGAGTTTCCGCAGTAGCAACGGTTTTAGCCAGCGATGAAGAACACACCGTTGTCGAGCATTGCTCGCTAGGTGGTAGCAGGACGCCTATTTCGACTTGCACGGCACGATAAGACATGCGAGTCGTGGAGGACGGCAAGATGAGCAAATCTACTCTCTCACAGACGGATGGATCAAGGGCTGCAGCAGGTGACCGCAGGCCGAGCAGTCGCTTTGCCGAGTAAGCCAACGGCGCCATGAATAGGAGCCAGATTCATCTTGAGTCATAAAAGCAACGCATGTCTACAGTCAGCTCAAAGCTGAGCATAGCCAACACCAACACTCACAATATAGTCCGCCCAGTCAAAAACACACTTACGGAGACGTAGTTTGCGTTAAACAAGCTACGTGAGTTGCAAGAAATAACCGGGATGGACAGAGCCTGGCAACACGCCCACTCCAGTCACATTCAGATTCAAACCAAGATGGCCGAATAAACCAACATGACCGATCGGTGTCGGAACAGTAACGGTCGCCCACTGTAAGATTTAAGCCACAGTCAGCAAGATGCCGAATATGGCGAACGCCAAAATGAAAACCACAATATAGCATCCCGGCGAAAACACGGTAACGTCGACGTAGCTTGCGTCAAGCAAGCTACACGAGCAGCAAGAAAAAAAAAAACGAGACTAAAACAGCCTGACATACGCCCGCTCCAGCCATTTTCAGATTCAAACCAGTATGGCCGATAGGCTTCGAAACAGAAACGGTCGCCATAGTTAGATTTTAATGGGACGGCATTCAACGTCGGTAGATCCTCAAAGCATAGTCCTATTTGTCGAAAGAACTGGCTTATAAAGATTCGCGACGTAGTTTTCAAACACGAGGGTATCGAAATTTTTACACAGGTGTAAGTTGCACAGGGAGCACTGCATCACAAGTCCGCCTGCATTTGAATGGAAAACTTCTAAATCTTGTGAGATCAAAAAATCAGAAGGGTTGTGCCAACTCGATGAGTCAACCCGTTAGACTTGTTAACACGATAGAATCTTGAACACCACAAGAGAATAAAAAACGGAGACATTATTAAATAAAAGTAGCATGTTGATCGCATTTGTTTGTTCCACTTAAAAAGGTCACGAGCAAGCAGGTGTCAAAATCGAAGTCAACACACATGAAGAGAATTATTTATTGAAGGATCCCGCATTAGTCATAAATTGTTTCTAGAAGTTTCGATCGTTTATAAGGATTATCATCTTGTCGAGCAGCTTTTGCGCCGCGCTGTTTGTTCGTTGTTACAGCTTTATCCGCCTTCAACATCTTATTGAAGGATCGTACCTGAAAAAATAGACATATATAAAACAAATTAACCAAGCACAGCGTGATTGAATTTCCTCTAAAGTGCGTAATGAATGTTGCCCATGCCTGAAGATTTTGTAATGATGATTCCTATAATCTGAGAATTTTCTAAAGGAACTATTTTAAAGATGAAAGCTTTATAAAAAATTAGTCAATTATGCGCTGCGAGGGAGAAAATATGACTGGTCTAACTTTAAGCCGATGAAAAAACATTCACGCGGTTCCAGAGTTAAATAATGAAAACGCACAATAGAAGAATTATTTAAAATTGCTTAATCTGTCTAATCAAATCTATTTGGTTCAAGAAAATCAAACTCAACATGGCTAAAAGTGGTATCTGTAGCCAGCTCAGAGGAACTTTTTAATCAATATGTTGAATTTCCAGTACTATGAAGATAACACAGGGTTGCCAGACGGTTATTTTTTCCGGACAAATTCCGTGATTAAGTTTTTCTCAATTGCGTTGACCGGCTAAAATTTATGATAGGTGTACTTCCTAATTAAATTTTAAATACTGGAAAAAGAAAATAAATAGAATTTTTATAGCGTATAACAAATAAACTAGTATATATTGGGTTATATGCCTTTTTGGCCTTTTCTATTCTCGGATTTGGCCGATTTTAGGCAACCTGAGTTATGCACCACTTCGTCCTGGAGAAATACATTTCGTGGTACGCATATGTACCACTTCGGAGTCAACGTGTTAAGTTATCAACTCAAAACCATTTTATTATTTTACGGCACATGAAAGACGGTAAACTCACACTAGACGGCGTCTTGAACTTGGGATTCTCCCATAGCGTCATGCCGCTGAAGCTGTTGTCCAGGATCTTCACAGGGTTCATGACGAACCGGGGACCTGAGGAATAAATCAATATTAATCGTTAGTGGAAAATATATGAATAAAAGGCAGAATGTAATTTTCACAGGGTTTATGATGAAGCTGGGACCTTTAAATAATAAATCGTATATGAATGAACGAATAGGAAAATAATTTGTAAGTGCTTCAGCTATAAAGCTCTTTTGCGCAGGAAGTCGAAAATAAACGTCACCAGCAAAGGGGTAGGTCTCGGTTCTTGGGAATTTATTTAAATTATTAATCATTTATAAGGGACAAGAGGTCTAAGTTATGAAATATACGGAAAAAGAAAAGACACGTGAAGAGGAAATCCAACATTAATCAAGAGTGGACCAGGAAGTAACAAAAGGAAGAGTAAAGCAGCTACAGAATGAAATGACAAATAATTATGCGGTATACCTTCTCAAGTATTAAATAATTCATCACTGCCTTAACTTATTGGTTACATTGTTGCAAGTAAAATTGGCAGAAGACATCCTTAGAAAATTATTGGCGACAACTGAAGACAGAAAAAAATGTGCAGACAGAGCTAAAAACTCGCCTATTTCAGACAGCTCTCCGTCCTCTTCTAGAATCTGATAATTTCTGAACCATATTTTATTATCAAGAAGAGTGAATGTAAAGACATGGTCAAAGAAAGGCTGGCTCTTGGGATGGTGGTGTGGAGTGCCGAAGGTTTGCACGAGCAATTCTTTGATGAGCATCCAGTGAGGCGCATCAAAATCTGGACTGAATTTCAGTAAAGGCCGAGAACCTTTCAAGCAGTTGCCACTTAGCTTCAATTCGTCCATTGTATGCACTGAAAAAAAAAAAAACATTTATTTTAATTTGCGATTTATGAAAGCTATAGGGTTAGCCAATAAATTGAAATGTACTTGAATGAAAATTCCTAAATGAAACTCTTTTCAGCAGTTAAATCGCTACTTTTTAACAACTTTCATACAGTGACATTTATTTGTACTGGTTAAAAAAGTACAGTAATTTTGAACAGCTAAAATGTACCATTCTTCCTTGTTTGTGACAATCAAGAAAATCAGCACTGCTACCAAATTGATATAATTTTAAGCAATTTATAATTCCTATTAAATTTGCTGTCCAGCCTTTTGAAATAAAACTACCTCCTGAACAAAAAGTGTCCTATATTTAATTTATAGTTTACTCATCAATTACAGTCTTAAAAATACCTAAAATGTTAGGTACTAAACTCATTTTGAAAATTAAACCATTATCTATTCTTTAATAGTACATATTTAGTTCAATATTTATCTGTTAGGCAACAAATAATAGAATTTTTATTTTCTTTCTAGTATTTACCAGAACACTGCCAGTCTTCCATTTTCCAGTTTGTCATGATTTCAAGTACACTCAAACGGTACTTACTACAAATGATGTGGAATTTCACTGAAGGTCCTCTTGCAATATCAGACACCCACATGAACAAGTCCATGTGCTTGCGGCTTTCAAAATAAAGGACTTTGTTGCAGTTGCGAATTTCAGCAACCTGAAATGAAGGTATTTTGAGAAATTATAAGTACCTATACATAGTATCCTTCAACAGAACCTTATTACAGTCATATTTCATAAAGTATTCAACTCCTTATAATCATATGATAAATAAGAAAATACTTTTTTCAGTGTGATTTGATCATTAAAGGAAATGTAATATTAGCATGGAGTCCACATTAAATCCTACATATTATCTTGAGAGAAATAGTTGGTTGATCCTGGAGAATATCTGCTTACTTCATTCAATGCTTTGAGGTCACTCTTGGTGTCATGTTTTGTTTCAGCCCTGGTGTGAGGCATTAAGCTTTTGAGATCTTCCATGAGGTGGCGCTCCCTTGCACCCATCCCACGTGAGCACAACACCAATACACGCTGCTGGTTTATCCATTTGCCCTGTAGAAACAAATCATTCACATCATGTTTCAAATTTGTACATCATGCTGCAGAGTTTTTGTATTTTCAATGTAAATTGAGATAGAAATAAAAATAAAATTACAACTGGAAAATGATAAAAGATATATAAATAAGTCCTTTATGAGTAGTATGTATGTACAGGGTCTGCATTATTTATGGCAATGGAGGTTTGCTATATAAAATAAATTGCTTTCTAGGAGACTTTTCTGTTATAATGAAGCTTAATATCATCTATTAATTCATCTATTTTATATTGCAGAAATCTAAGGTGTCTAAATTTACTAGTATTCCTTATGGCAGTAGATAGAAATGCAATTGTAACCCTTCATGAAAAGGTTGAGTGTAATTCAGTCACTGCAAAAAAGCTCCAAATTTGTCATGAAACTGTGTGGAAGGTGGTAAAAAAATTCAAGTAACTGGTGAACATGCAATCAAACCTGGTCAAGGAAGGAAATGAAGTGTCCAAACAAAACAATTGGTCAAAAACATGAGGGAGAAGTTGAGGAGAAACCCTCGTCACTCAGCTGCAAAATTGGCTGCAGAAGCAGGAGTCAGTCAGACATCAATGCTTAGAGTCCTCCAAGATGACCTCAAAACCTCCCCTTACAAGATGCAAACAAGGCATGAACTAACAGACCGTCATGAATGAATGAGGCTTGAAAGATGCCAGCACATTCTGGATCTCATTGAGGATGGCATGCTACCCAACTTGGTGTTCAGTGACGAGAAAAAATTTGACACAGAACAAAGCGTTAACCATCAAAATGACAGAGTTAGGAGTTGGGATGGATCAGTGGCAACCAGAACAGCAACACAACGTCAAAATCCCATGTCCGTGATGGTTTGGGCCGTGGTAACCGCCACTGGGAGGTCCCCACTTGTTTTTGTTCCCTCAGGAGTGAAACTGAACAGTCAGCAATACACTTTGGACATTTTGGAAGCTGTGTTGTTACCTAGGGCCCAAAAACACTGTAATGGCTGACCATGGAGTTTTCAACAAGACTCTGCCCCATCACATGGCTCAAAAATGACCCAAAACTGGATTCATGGTCACATCCCACGATGATCCCAGCATTCATTAGCAAAAATGAATAGCCCTCAAGAAGCCCTGATTTGAATCCTCTCGACTTTTATGTGTGGGCTATTTTAGAGAGTAGGGTCTGCAAAACATCTCATGATTCTTTGGATAGTTTGAAGTCTAAATTGATACAAGAATGGGACTTGATCCCTCAAGAAATGCTGAGTTTCTCCTGTGAAGCTTTCCTGCGTAGATTGGAGACCATCATTAAAAAAAAGGGTGGTCATTTTGAATAAAGATGTCTGAGAATTGTTTAGGGAATTGTTAGCTACTAGCTCATCCAATAAAAAAACAATGCACCTGTTTGTTTCATTGAGAAATAACAAAAAACATGCATTGCCATAAATATGGCAAACCCTGTATATTTTATAATATTTATATATTGAAAGTACAGCAATTCCTTGATTAGCACGGTTTTGAATACCGTGGTTTTGATTAACGCAAAAAAAATTTGCAACCTACCCTTAATCTACGCGGTGCCAGTTTTGATTAGCGCGACTTTTTTTTCACAACGCATCATTTTTCCGCCTCTAGCCAGAGGTGGAGGATTCATTATAATTATTTTTATAATGAATCTATTTTTGAGGATTCATTATAATTATTCTCATATATTCTTAAGTTTGATTAGCGCGGTTTTGCTTAACACGGTAAAACTCGGCGATTTATTAACCGCGTTAATCAAGGGATTGCTGTACATATTTTCCACAGTAATATCAAGAAAACTAATCAACTGCAGGGAATGGCAACTAAGGTCAAGAAATAAGTAAAATTTGCACTCATGAAAAGTTAGTAAGTAAAGTGGACTTAATCCCACATGTTGTTGTCATAAGTTATCTGGAACATTGGGCAGAAGTTTACTAAAATCTTAGGTAAAAGTGATGGTTTTACTGGCAATTTTTTTGGTGTTTTTTCTCTTATTCAACAAGGAAGGAATTAGGTAAGAGCCATACAAAAAGGAGAGTTTAACTACAAGGCAAAAATGGAAAATTTTTGTCTTGTTCATGGAGTGCTTCCATAGCCTTCAAATTTTCAAAAGTCCAAAGTAGAAAACTGGGCAGAAGCCACCGCTCTTTCAGACAAATAAAGCCTGTGATGCTGTGAATCTGGCAAATTTTACTGTTAATCTAGCCTTTTTCCAATATCTTCAGAGAAAAGTAAAAAAGGCCTATTTTTACCTGCTATTCTAAAAAAATAACCTGTGAAATGTTCACTTTAACCTGCAATTTTATGAAAACTCAGCTAAATAGTAATATTCCAAATTGGGAATGCTTCTGAGTTCTGCCAGACTTTGGGCATGGACTACTAATGTTGGAAAGTGAAAGATTTATATATCTAGGGTTGTTGAAAAACTAGAAATATAGAGCAAATAGGAATTTTTAAAATCTGTAATTAGACCAAATTACTGGCAACTGGCAAGTGCACTTCCTACTCAGTTACTGCAGTATGATGCATGAGGCTACGAGCAAATATGCTGCTAGCCTATGCAATGAAAAATAAACACATTTGAAAATTTAATATAAAGTAGGTAATATCATTATGACAATTGAAAAAGTTTTGAAAATCCTACTGTTAGGTTGGATAAACACACCATATTCCAACACTTTAAGGACATACCAAGAAATGAAATACGAATGGCCATAAAAAGATCACCATATGCGCAACTCGAGTTCTGATTGCTTTATGTCACTCTCAAAACACCACACTACGCGCCAGCAATGATGAAATGTTACGAACTGTTGCCATATTTATTTAAAAGCCTTTAGAATTCAAAACTAACAAAATCGCTGAATTCAGACGCTGTGTGTGACTAAATTCGGCATATTATGAGACTAATTCAGACAACGCTTCAAAACCGTAATTCATAATTCTGACGCCCTGTGTGAGCTGTATCAGAATACAACACAGCTCGGAATGAGCTGTGTGTGTCTAATTCCGAGCTGTATCAGAATTAGTTTTTATGTGTCTAAAACCATCTCTTTAACTTAATCATTATTAATTTATTTATGTCCCTAAATCAGCAAATACAAGTATATTTAAAGGATTCGTAATATATTCACAGACTGATTTGAAAATCTCAAACCATAATAATCTTTCTACACAAACAGTTTATCACTATTTGGTAGAGCAAGGTCAACTATAAACTTTGACAAGTTTTTTGATGTTCTCACAGGGTGACATGGACTTTCACTCTAATGGATCTTAACATTTTCCTGCCACACCTAGTGTTTTGCGGAAATCTGGCGCACAATTGTACGACATCACTATTTCAACCATATAGGTTAAGCGCGGTATATTCTGACATCGTGGGTAATTCCAACACTTCTTGACTTTTTTCCTTTATATTAGGCTTTCTCTTAGTTCCAGGCATTCGTTGATGGTTGAAATAGTGACATCATACTTTTGCGTGCCATACTATTGCCAAAACACTAGGTCTGGGCTGTCTGGCGAGAAAATGTTGAGATCCAAAGAGAGACAGTGCGCATCACCTAGCGAGAACATTGAAAAAATTGTCAAAGTTGATAGTTGACCTTGCTCTACCAAATAGTGACAAACTGTTTGTGTAGAAAGAATATTATGGTTTGAGACTTTTAAATAAGTCTGTGAATATATTAGGAATCCTTTAAGTAAACTTGTATTTGCTGATTTCAAGTCGTAAATAAATTTATAGATGATTAAGTTAAGAGACGGTTATAGACACATAGTTAGTTAGTTAGTTTAGAAGGAGGGACAGGTGAAAAGCAACAGAAATGAAGACACTCGAACAAGAGGTCACTTACACGGGACGTCGGCCACCCGCACGAGAGAGACAGAGAAGGGAAATGTAAGGAATCCTACCTACATAATAACTTAACCCCACAACTGGGACCTGCAGTCAGACACCGCGAGCTCAGTGATGGGGCGCTCAGGAACAATCCCCCTAGGAACGCGAAATCCCATAGGACTTCTGACGAGCACAGACACCCGTCAGAAGTCCCCACTCCCCCCTGAGGGGGGTCTTATAGACACATAAAAACTAATTTCAACACAGCTTGGAATTAGACACACAAAGCTTGTTCCAAGCTGTGCGCAAAAATTAAAATTTTCTTGATTAAAAGCTTAATAGCTCTTAATTAAAAGCCTAAATAAGTAGCGTTCAATATTCAATAGTGTTCTAATTCTAAGCTGTGTCGTATTCCAATACAGCTCACACAGCGATTGGAATCCGGACACAAGAGTGTCGGCATTACCTACAAATTAGTAGTTTGAAGCACGGCCGGAATTAGTCTCACAAAATGCCAAATTTAGTCACACACAGTGTTGGAATATATGGATTTGGAAGGTTTGCATTCCAATGGCTTTTAAATAAATATGGCAACATTTTGTGATGTTTCATTGTTACTGGCGCATAGTGCGGTGTTTGGAGAGTGACATAGTGGCAAAGCAGAGTTTTTTAGACTCTTCCTCAAGTTCATTTTTGAGTCCTATAATTAGACCAGTAAAGTATCTTGGATACCAGAATTATCATACATAAGAAATCTGTTAAAATCTTGAGTAAATGAGGAAATTAAAAATGAACTGATGTGACATAAAGCAAACAGAACTTGAGTTGCATGTACTTTTTTTTTATAGCCATTCATTTTTTGCTAGTACGTCCCTAAAGTTTTGAAATATAACGCATTTACCCTATGAGGCTATGCATGCGTGGAAGTAAGACAAAGCTTAATATAGACAAAGCTTAACATAAAGGAAAAAGTTGAGAAGTATCATAATTACCCACAATGTTGGAATATGGTGCGTTTACCCTACCTAACTAAACATAGCAATAATTTTATTTATTTAAATTTTTAAATCAAATTTTTAGTACCTTATTAAAAGTAGGCTAGGCCGCTAGGAGCGGGTAAACGCGGTATATTCTGACACATTAAGGACGCATCGAGAAATGAAAAACTATAAAAAAACGTATGCATTACGTAAGTTCTGTTGCCTTCACGTGACTCTCAAAACACTTCACTACGCGTCAGCAACGATGAAACGTCACAAAATGTTGCCATATTTATTAAAAAGCCTTTCGAATGGAAACCTACCAAATCCCTATATTAAGATTTCATACCTACTGAAATTATATGATATTAGAGCCGCGATATTTCAGACAAAAATAGGACTTTTCCTGCCCTGCATCAACGAACGCATGGAACTAAAAGAAAGCTTAATATAAAGGAAAAACTAGAGAGGTGATGCGGAATTACCCACGATGTCGGAATATACCGCGTTTACCCTACCTAACTAAACCCAGCAATAATTTTATTTAATTAAATTTTTAAATCAAATTTTCAGTAATTCAAAGAAGGCTAGGCTGCTAGGCCTAGGTAGGCCTAATTGTACATATTTTACATAACTATGAAAAATTTATTTATACCTATCAAATTCAAACATTATGAAAAATTAAACTACCAGTAACGTAACAGTAAACATATCATTTTAAAATATTGAATCACACTTCACACTCAATCTGTATTTTGTAGAAATATTTTACATTCAAATAAATTCAAATTAATAAACAATTTACTAGAGAAGCTTAACCTCAAAGGCTCAAGGTCCACAAGAACATAATCACATGAATCGTTGCTAATTTGCTACCTAGCTGGGTATTTATTTATTGGGTAATGGGTAGGTACTCAGAACTCACTTTGTTTTTATTGTATTGATCAGATGGTCGCGAAAGCGGTAAGCGTGGAAGAGTGTCTTGTTCTTCTTCCGACTCTGGTACAGCTTCTTGTTGAGATCGTTTCCTTTTGCCCATTGTTTCAGATAAATGACGTACTAATATATATATAAAGAAGAGTCAATCGTTCTTGATGAATCAATATGAAAAGTGTCGGAATCAGACTGTATTTGTCCAGCGTATAAAAGAAACAACTCGCTGCAAACTTGAACCTAACCGACACGACGAGATTGGGATTCAGACTGGAAGTCTCGCTCTCGATTCTCGAATTCAAGCTCACAACTCGGTCAAAAAGTTCATCAGTGAGTGACGATACATTTAAACAGCGTGTTGGATACATGGTTATATATGTTTACTTGAATGATTTTTTTTGCATGTGCAGCTCACTGAATAAAAATAATTTTCTTATAAGCAGCTTTTCATGAGAATTATTATTATATTAAGTTACAAAAAGTAAGTGAAACTTTTTCTCATGTTTTTAGTCGGATCGAGGGGCTAGATGCATGTAACAGGCTAGATGCATGTAAAATGTAAGGTCGCTTGATTTTAAAAGACCGAAAGCGATATAGAACTTTCCAACCACGACATAACTTATTAAATAATTAAATTAGCGTCATCAGCCGATGCGATTTAATATTTAATGCTATCTGATCTGGACGAGCGCTTCACAAAAAGTATTCATGTCAATCAGCACGCCAGCTGAAATTTTTGTGGACATGTCGGTTGTTGATTTCTGTTTTAAAAGCACCGATTGTTAACCTGTGTGTTTTATAGCAGTGGAGTTACATCTCCTGAAAAATTAGTTAAAGAGTGTCTCTTTGATTGAGAGGCATGTGTTTGTCACAAACTAACAGACGGTTTGTTAGCAGGACAGATAATAATTAAATGCCGTACCAAAACTATTTTTGTTGTACAAGAAACATCAATCAAACCTGATCTTTCCTTTCTGAATAAATAATCTGAAATAAATGCCAAAATAATAATAATAGTTTATATCAGAATATGGGTGCTCAAGTTCATGTTATATTCATGTTATGCAGACCATATAAATTCGATCTCACTTGTCTAAAATTTCACTGTCTGAATACCCGTTATCGCGACATTTGCTCCGAGTTTAGTCCTTCTCAGGCGAGTACAATTTCCACCTAAGAAGCCATAATTTCTACTCTGGTTGAATAATATTGAAGAAATGAAATTTATGAACGTTACTCTATTATAAGTAAAATACACATACAACTTGTACTACAAATTCTATTTCAGCTTCTTCTAGGTAAAAAAAGTCGCATCAAATATGTATTGAACTGATTTATTTTCACCTTCTAAATCAGGAAACTTTAGCTCTTTTTATCGTGACTGCAATGGCCGATTTTGTTCCAACTTACTGTATACTGTAGATTCAGTTTCAACTAACTGTAAACTATACATTTAGTTTCAACTAACTGTATACTGTAGATTCAGTTTCAACTAACTGTATACTATACATTTAGATTCAACGTAACCTACATGGGTGCGTTATTTCACGCAACTGTATCGCACCGTCACGGTATCGTCAAGACAAGCACGCTGGATTACGTATAAAATGTTCGTGAACATCAAGTTTGTGAGAAATAATTGTTCAATTTGTGAGCAGGACTGCTGCTCAGAAGCGAATTCGCGATGCAGGCTTGCTATAGAGTCGTGTTCTTGAACGTGAGTGATTTTCTGCGCTTTAAAATTATCTTTCTCGTGTGATTCAAATACCGTGAATAACTGTAGTTCAAATTCATTGCAGGTAAATAAAATAGAGAAAAGAGGCGGAAATTACCATATCAATTAATAAATTTATATTGTTTTAACATTCTTTCAAGCTCGTAAAGAATATAATCGTTGAATTTCAGAAATAGTTTATTAAATTTTCCGGTATTAGTTGTAGCTCATTCATCTCCGACGATCTTAAAATTCCTGTTAAACTTAATAAGCGACCATGTTAATTGAGTGTACATACATTGTCGTCGAAGTGTAGTAGGCCAGTAAAAAATGTTTGAAACGAATGTTTCAGTATCCCGTGCTGAACAACGCGGCCCAGGGTGACCCGCCGAAGCTGGGCGGTGCCTTCGTCGACGTTTTCCGATTAATAGCCAAGGAGCTTGACATATGGTAATAAAATACTTCAAAAAGTTCAATCAAAACTTATTAAGTGAAAATAAAGTTTAGAAAATTAACAAGAAGCTCTCATCCTCTACCAGTAGAAATTTTGGACACAAATATTCAGAGCGCAAGATTATACATGGAAACGCTCTCATCGATTTAATAACCATATACCTTGCGTTTCACTGAAGTTGTTTTCAAACTCAAAATAAAATCATAGATATATAAAAGTTCAACTAATGTTAGAGTAAATTTGGTTGTGTTCCACTTTGGAGATTACAATATATGAATTTAAGAAAATGTCTATCTTTGATTCTTATTTGGAATCTATTTATTGGAATCTTATTCTTATTTCTTATTGGAATCTTATTTTGAATCTCTTTGATTCTATTTGTGTTTTGGAAATTTTAAAATCATGAGTTTCACCTTATTTGGGCTTAATTTCCATCAACAGAGATGACACATCAGTACTTCTTTTCACACAAAATTATTACCTTGTAATAAAAATGTACAATAAACAATATATTATATAATATACATATACTCTTAATCTTACCCTACAAACATATTGAATCTATTCTGGCATTTTGGCTAAACAGCGCAAAGAAACTTTTTTCCTCTAAGAGAAACGTAATACGGTGAGTTAATCTAACATGTAATAAATATTATTCTATTAAGATAATGTTCAAGGAGACGAATATTGCTGTTCTGTGTGATCCCTGTGGGCACAGAAGTGAACATCACTTCTGTATTAAAACCCAGCAACAGAACTATTTAATGTGGTATTCATATTTTTAGTATGCCTGGATCGCAAATAACTGAGCACCGCTCGTGACGTCAAGTGCGCTCTCTGGAACACAATAACATCGCAGTCACATCATGAAACATTAAAGCACTGCTTGTGACTTGCCTTTACTCTCTGAACACCAAAAACAGGGCTGCTTTTGACGTTTCATTTTTTTCAGCTACACTCCTGTACTACCCACCCAAAATTTGTACGGGAATAAGTTGCCTAACGGCACGTGGAACGGAATGCTCGGCATGCTGGAAAGAGAGGTACGAGTCACGTCTACATGGGCGCATTGTAGTCATTGTGTGATCATTGCTGGTACTCTAAAATATAATGCAATTCTTCATTCAGGCACCAAGAGGTTTTAATTAAATTTTCCTGTTTATTATTCACCGGTGTCTTGATTTTTATCTATCTTACAGCACCCCCATAACAATTATAGCCACTTAAATAATAGTTTTTTGAAGCTAAATCAAATCGGGTACAATTATTTTTCATGGTTTCTGGTTATTTTGAACAGGAGGCCGACATGAGCGCTTCTGGTCTTTTTGGCGACTTTGAACGCGTTAAAAATTTCGCGTTCTCCGAGTACGTCTTCATGGACTATACGAGCATCGCCTACAAGGAACCTGTCGTTGAGCCGAACATGGCTGGATTCTTGTTGCCCTTTACGCTGAAGGCAATTGTCATATATAAAATATAAACAGAAAAAACGGGTGACCTCTGTAATATTGAGTTCGGATGAAAAACTGATTTTAAATGCTATATAAGTTCTATAAGAACTGTCATAGCGAATGTCCCACTCGTGAAATACGCCACATTTTCGAAGTACAAATTTTGGATGCCGAAGCTCGAGAAAATCGTTTGCTAGAAAAGCGATCTATAAAAACTAGATCGTTTGCAGCACTGTACGCTAGTGTGAACTAGTGTAGACTAGTGTGCAGCACTGTACGCTGTCTAGTGTTAGTTACCAAGTTTCCCATCATTTACTGCTCAACTCTGTGACTGCATTCTAATTCACATTTGGTTAAAGACGACTAGTCTCTCATGCCACTGTCACTATAATGGTAGACAATTTGTTCGAAGTTTTAAAATTCCCCACTGATGTGTGTGTGGATTGATTGCTGTAGGTGTGTACTGATTGATGTAGGTGTGTACTGATTGATGTAGGTGTGGATTGATTGCTGTTGGTGTGTACTGATTGATGTAGGTGTGGATTGATTGACGATAGAGAGATGCCAGTAAAGCAAGTAGAGTTTTTTCTAAGTTCGAGTGAGGTTGGAGTAATGCTCCGTGCCATTAATAAGTATTATATTAAAATTACATTCGATAACTAATTATGACATGAGAAGCGAGTGATGGTACATGCTTTTATGATTCATGAGTAACATTTTTACTATAAGCAATATAATTTTCAATTATCCAATTCTTTGGCTCTATCAGACAGCTGCTCCCGGGACCCTTCTGAATAAAGTCTACAAAAAACTGGCTGGCAGTGAAAATAGACCAGACGTGATCGTTTCTCGCGTGATCGCCGGTGACTACGCTTACTTGGGACCACGAATCGGCCTGCTTGGATCGATGACATCACATTTTTCTAAGGTTCGAATACTGAGTTTCAGTATTTCATATAATTATGTATTGCTCGTCCATTTTTAAACATGTCGTTTTACTCATTGCACGATAGTAAAAAACTGCATGGATCTTCCGTTGGATTGTAACCACATCTCTGTATAATTTATTTAATTTCAATAATTCGTAAATTATATGTAATCCAACGCGCAAGTGGCTCCACTAACGAGTGACAGTTTTCTTAAATTACTTGCTGAGCACTTGTTACTGTTTTAAGGAACATTAAGGCTTATACATGGGGGTTACTGTTAGCTACGAGCATTTGCTGCAAGTTTTCGCCCTTCAAATTAAATATGTTACCATTGTTCTTTTCACAGACTGGGAAGTGCGGGCTCCAACTTGGAACTGAGTCAGCCTTTAGCATTACCATGTCCTTCGTATTCGGAAAGAAGTTTCCACTGAAGACTCAGTTCGACAAATTGTGAGAAATTAAAATGAACGTAGCAACAAATTATTTTTCTTTGCACATGTTTATTGCGGTTAAATCTAATGCAGGGTGATTCACGGAAACTAAATACCTGCTGATTTGAAAGCTCAATAAAAAAATAACTAGTAAACATATCAGTATGATATGAATTTTATTGAAGACATCACCTGAATTCTTGTATCACTTAGTTTTAAAGATGATATCGGACAAATGACGGCCCTATTGTCAATGCATTCAGTCAGTGGATTTTCGAAGTCAAGTTCAACTTGCTGAAG